TTGTATGATGCTTGTACCCATGTTCTGGATACATTTAATGGAGGGTGATAGTCACTTCTACAAAGAGATACCCACCATGGATATGTGGGAGGGCAAGAATGGGCAGTTCACCACAGATCTTAAATGTACTTATATTAATGAAGAAAGACAGATGCCCTGTGTTATGGTTGTGCATACTGTGTGCATGTACTGTGCTAACACATCACCATATAGTATATGACTGCCATCCCCATTAATAAACATTCCTTCAGATGCTCATGTTATCTTCCCCTCCACAGAGCAATCACGGAACATTTGTTATTTTTTTGCTCATTTTGAGAAAAAAAATGATTTCCCTTTGTCTTAAGAGGGCAAAGAAAGGTTGTGACCCTTGGATCTTTTATCCTGTCTTAGAGGAGAGACTGATATTTGGGTTGTATTTGCATACCATGTTCAGCCATGATTTATGGGAGCTGTGGTCTGTTGTATCTGCCACAAATTATACTTGGGTGGTATACAGTATGGATAAGCAGTTTGCCTACCAGGAGCTGACTTCCTTTCTTGGTAGGCAAACTTGTGACATATCTCTCATCTGTTGATTTAGGCTAGCCATCCTAACAGGGCCCCGATTACAATTTTGCAATGTTCCTCTCTCATTGGCCCCCCAAAAGTTTAAAGGAGAGGCTTGCTTATATTTTGACCTAGCCATGGTGCATGCAAGCATGGGCTCTAGTGTGTGTGTCCCATTTTCCTGAGGGTTGTTCCTTCCCTGGACTGTTATTTGCTATGTGTGGGGAGAAAATTGTAGGCACTTTTCTCTGAACCACATTTCATGCCTTAATATGTAATTGCCTTTAGAATGTTACCGAGGCCACAGACCCAACTTCTCTTAGGAAAGGAAGTTGATCCCACTGATCTCAGATTTCAGGTGTCATGAACAGACACCCAACACATTGTTGCACAAGTCTCTGCATAAAGGAAATAATAAAGAGAAAGCTATATTCCTTGCACAAGCACAATTTCTGGATTTTTAGATGATGATGATGATAACAACAGGAACAATCCATCAAGTCAATTCTAACTTATGACAAACCTTTTCAGGGTTTCCTAGGTAGCGAGGACACAGAAGTAGTTTACTATTCCCTTCTTCTGGTGGTGCTCTGGGACTGTGCAGGTTGCCCAAGCCACACAAGCTGACCCTACTTGCAAGAGGCATAGTGGGGAACTGAACTCTTAGTCTCTCCAGCCAGATATCTAAACCACTGAGCTATCCAGCAGGCTTCTTTTTAGATAAATGAACATTTAATCAACCGAACCCCACCTAACCCACCTTCTTCAACTGCACACTTGGAAATGCTAGAAATGGTCTGATGAAGTCTTAAATTTCATGTTCTGCCTTAAAGCAGAATACAGTATAACATGTTGGTGCCTTGTTACAGGGTATTTCAGATATCAAGGCTCAACCTGATGCATCACAGCCTTTTCTGCTTCGTGGCCTTGCTATTAATAGTACTTTAACTGCTTGCCACAATTGGGGTTTTATGAAAGACAAGAAACAGCTTTGCTGTGGGCCTGTTTTGAAATCTGAATGTGGAACTCCCTTCACTTTGGCCCAGATTTTTTTTGCCAGATGTGTGCTGACTTCCTGTTCAGGATATTGCCTCATCCCCTGAGCACTGGAAGAGCAACAGAGGGTGTGGTAGCGGTTGTCAAATGCCGGCACCAGTCATCATCGCTCTCGCTCTCGCTCTTTGTTGTTGTTGTTGTTGTTATGGTTGTGCTTCCTTAGTCTTGTGGGGAAGGCCTTGCAAATATCAAAATAAATATTCTCCTGTTTCTGAAAGCAAAGACCATATCCTGCTCTTCATGGAAAAGCACATTGATCTTTCCCCCTATAGAGCTTTCCCTTCTGTCTGCTGGAATTGTCCAAGGCTAAAAGGCTGCAGGTAGTTAGGACTGTTGAGCTGGGGCCTTGACTGCAAGAGGTCAATGGACAAGGAGGTCCATTTCTGACAGATTTTTGATGGCTCTCAGGGAGGCATCTTGCAGGCAGATTTTTTTAAATCTGCAAACAGAACCTGAGAATCTCAGTGGTAACCTCAGTCAGATGAAAAGTCTCTGCATTTAGAAATGAGCAGTCTACTATTTTGTGACAGCTTTCTGTATTCAAATCAGCATGATCTTTTTTTTAAAAAAATCCTGCTTTTGTCTTTTTCTCTGTAGATTGGCTGTCTAGAAATGTGTCTGTAGTTGCCAGAATGATTTTTTTTTTTGAATTCGCGAAGATTTTTTGTCCCTGTTGTAAAATTTT